ATTGTCCACAGTCTTCAACCAAAAACAAAAGAAAGAAAGAAAGACCAAGAAATCACGTTCATGTTACAACATAAAAGGTGAAAGATAAACAAAAATTAACAATGAAAACAATCTATGGTAAAAAAAAATTTTAGATTTAACAGGAAATCTAACCTTGAGAAGGTGTCCAAGTTCCTCGCTACATTCCAGTTTATCCCTAGCTAGTCAGTTTTCGAAGAGATTTTTCTAGTTTTGGTTCACAACCAAGCGAGATAATTCCACAGACTCAAATGTGTTGAGCTTCCCTTTTGTTAAAAGGGTTCCAAAGTATAGCAGTAATGGTAGCGTTTGCGCAGCTTCAATAGGAACACTTTGCAAATATCACATCGTGTTAATCAAGTCTCATCTGCTCCTCAGAAAATTTTGATTGTACCCAATGAAACATTGCCTGTAATATGTTTTAAGTACGGAAAAGTTGCTTCCATTTATAGAGGGGCTGATTTTTTAGCATTCGAGAGTGAATTAAGAAAATCTAGAAAGTTGTTCATGATTTCCACCTTACGCTTCTCTGTACACTACTTTAGAAATTAGATTGTAGATCTTTTTTTCAACTAAAGATACTTGTTCATGAAACAAAGCAAAGTTCAAATTTTGTTTTAAACATTTTACAAAGAAGTATCTGATTCTAGTCACTTTCTCAAACAGCATACAAATTAGGATAAATAGCAGAGAAGATTAGATGGCTAATAGTAAAATAGCAAAGCCCACAGGAGGGTATAGGAGAAACTGAAATAACAAAGCTTTAAGTTAAGAGCATGTTGTGTCACCATTACTAAGATATGGTAGATAAGCGGTAGGCGAAGCAAGAGCAGAAATCTGTTTGGGAGTTGATGATGAAGGAGATGCTCTGGGAGACAGTTTGCATAAGTTCAAAAGCATGTAAACTTAATTCCAGGCAGCCCTTGTAAACACTTCGAAAACCGCCTTCCCTATGAAATTTGAAAATATTATTGAACTGAAAAAGTAAGAGCTATAAGAGAGTCTTCTTCAGCTTAATGTAGTTGGCATTCATATTTCACCATCTATTTCTTCGTTTATATAATACTAAAATTTGGAGTTTTTTATAGTACACCTATTCAATTTAAACAAATGTCTACAGAACTGTGTAATATAGGGAGAAATTAGATTAGATGCACTATAAAAATCATCATTTTGAAGTTGAAATTTGCCAAGTATGTGTATGAATTGATTTTGCAAGAAATGATGTTATCCATGATCCAAAGTAAATGCGACAATTAAATAAATGAGTTGATTCATATCAAAATTAAACGGAACTTGAATAGCATTTTGTTTTATTTCTATAATTGGCTCTGATGTTAAGGTTTACCTTAAATTTACAGAATTTGCTGCTAAAAATATATATAACCTGCATATGTTTCCATGTGAGATTTAATAAATATATATTTACATTAAAAGCATGTCTGGTAGAAATCATCTTACCAAATTTTTTGCCATCGCTCCCAAGTCTGTTCTTGGAATCAATTTTACAGTAAGTTTCTTCCTTGTATCATTCACAGCTATAACCTAAAAGTACAAGCATAATTGAAACAATTAACAAAAATAAGCTAATAGGAT